TATATTTTAAAATAATGGACACTGTTAGCAAACTTCCGCAACCTTATTAATTATTGTTTAGTCGTTCTCATAAAAACTTTATTTAATTAAAATTAAATATGTATAATGTGATATAATAAAGTAAGAACCTTAAAAGTAATTATTTAATTTAGCTCGTATTTTTTTTATTTTTTTTTATTTTTGCCTAATTTGTTTTCGATAATTTTTGTGAGCCCCGTTAATAAAAATAATTAACAAATATACTTCTTCGTGATTTCATGATTATTTTTAATAAAAGTAGATCTTAAAAAGAAAAAAACAATCTAAATAAAAAAACATATAAAACTAGTGTGTACAAGTTTTATGTCTGCTTTTAGGTCTAGATCTTTTAAATCGAAGTTGAAACTCAGTTTTTCTCCGTCGCACAGTGGGAAATTAGATGGCCAATAATCAGAAAAGTAACTTGGTTCAATCATTGTCTGATAATGGGTTTTGTAACTAATACCATCACTAAGAATTTTCCAATTTATGAAATTCTAAATGTGGCAGGCTCAATTGTAGTGGCTTCTTGAAGTTAATTTTTTTAATGAATTTTCGATAAAATTTTCAAATTGCTGGATTTTAGTAATTATTATTCTTTTAATATATAGATCATTGAAGAATTGAGAATATATACATCATTGGAAAGATTATAGTATAGGCTGTTAAAAATAAAAAATAAAAAATTTCTTTAAAAAGTAGGTAGTAAAACTTTTAGCATTAAAAGTTAAAAATTCATCACAAAAGTACTAAATTTTTACTTTGATAAAGAATTAAAAAATTGTTTCAATTTGTACCTTTTCCATATTTTGATATTTTTTAGTCTATAGTATCTACTAACTACCCTGAGAAGTGTAGCTGCGATCATCCCCGATCTTGAGCGCTAAATAATTTTGAAAAATTGATGTTTTTTTAAACAAATAAAAAACTTCAATAAAAATAATTTTTTTCATTCATTACAAAAAGTAAAAAACATACAAACTACTTTAAAGCATGAAAGACCAAAATAAATTTGTTTTCGTGTTGTTAATGAAAGGAAAAATTTTTTATTTTAACTTCATGAGTTTATGGTTTTAAAATGCATAACTAATTTTAAAAAAATAGTTCTAAAGTGCATTTTTAATGTCCCACTAATCGACCAAAACCACATGAATTTCTAAATGATGTTAAAAAGTTTCTTTTTACTTTGTAAGTTTATTGTTGTGAACTAAGATAATGGAGGAAATCAATTTAATACAAACTGTGCAATGTTTTTAGCTTTCGGTAAATACTTTTGAAAATGTAAATAGTGGGTTTAAATACATTACTAGAATTCAAGTCAGAGAATACAAAATAAACACAATAGCGAGAGAAAACGACGTCTAAAGAAGCTTTTGTAAACTTCTTGCATAACAAACCTTCAGGAAGTGTTTCTGAAAATACCCATAAAGAAGCACCATGCAGGTTTCCATCTTATCGAGTAATTTTTGAAATAAAAAACGAGTGCTCGCGCCTTAAAACATTCATTAAAGTTACTGAAATAAAGGCCAAAGTTAAACTACAGGATCTTATGGATCATACATCCAAAAAGCTTGTGAAACTACGGGAGAAGAAAATTTTAAAAGTTTTGATGTTAAAAGAAAGACTTTGATGAATTAATACTAATTAGTTGTCAGTGTATGGACGAAACATCAAATCACTAAAAATACTATTAACGTTTTAATAATTCCAATCAAAATAACCTTCAAGATTCGGATCTATTAGTCACAGTAACATCACCTCTTCGATTACATGTACAATCAGCAAACATGATGAGCGATCTTCGATTACATGTACAGTCATCTAACATGATGATCGATCTAAAAAAAGGTTTGTTACAAATAGGCAGGCATTGTGCTATGGCATTTGACCAATACATGCTTGTATTAGGTTTTTTGAATTTATTCATATTTCATATAGACTTGAAAAAAACTTAGAAAGTAGAAAAGGTTTTCAAAAAATCAATATTTTTTGAGAGAAAAAATTATACATGGTAGGATGTTTGAAGAATTTGGTTTGAGAGTTGATGAACCAAAAGCTGGTATATCAGCTACTGGAACTAGTAATACCGGAAATTTATGCACATGAGCTTTTTCTGATCCTCTATTACTCAGCAAAATTTTAGAAATGGATGACGAAATTATCAGATTACATAACATTTTAATTGCAAATAATTGCAAAGACCCAAATGATCCGGAAAAAATTGATAAATTCTGCAATGATACATATAAAAAGTTATTAAAGATATATGATTGGTTCAAGTTCTCAGCTTCCATTCAAAAAGTATAAGCTCATGCTAGGGAAATTATTATTAATTTACCAGTTCCATATGATTTAATGGGAGAGGAAGCAGTTAAATCTCGACAGAGATTTTATAAATTTAATCGTGAACATCATTGCAAGAAAAAAAAGTAGAGAAATAAACTTACTTGACATTTTCATTCTAGGTATACATACTTTCGATCCCCTAATTAGTTCAATTTCATTAACTAAAAGATTGAAAAGTAAGAAAATATTGTGCCTACCGGAAAAAGCTAAAAGTTTGTTGGCAGTTTATAGCGATGATAAAGTAAAAGATTCATCTCAATTGGAATTAGATGAAATTAGTAACTTAGGTGAATTATATTTAAATGTTGATAACGTTGACGAAGATCTAGAATTAGATATAGAGGTAGAAGAATAATGTTCTAAACTGTATCATCTGTAAAATGTATAACTTTATATTTATTTGTCTACTATATAAATTTATTAAGTATATAATAAAATATTTAAAAAATTGCAATGATTCAGTTCAAATTATTAGAGTTTGGACACAAGATTATCCCAAAAGTTTATTTATTTGTTTGTTTTTTTATTATTCGTTTTATTATTATTTGTTATTAATTGAAAATTAAAATAACAGACTTTAATTCTCATTATTTAATCTGTTAAAGTTCGAAAGATATAACTGTAGTAACTATAATAAAGTTTTCACTATCTCCAAAATGAGAGGCTTGTAAACTTTATACCATCATAACTTTCAGAAAATAAAAGATTATCCAATGAAAGCAAAAACCTGTCAATGAATTTGAGTTTAGCATAAGATAGCATCAAAAATCTGTTTTTAGACTCATTGCCCTCATATTTGGGGTAAAGCGGGGCTAATTTTTTGGGGTATTTTTAATCCCGGACTTGAATCACCGCAATTTTTTTTTCAAATTAATATATTTTGAATCAAATATGAAATATTTTGAATCAAATATTTCAATGGAATGTTTCCACTGTGCATCGGCGGTTCAGTTCAAAACGTCTTATTCAAATTTTTTCGTCTTTTGTTTTATGGGCATCCTACAATGACACTGTGATGTAGGAGGCATCAATAGTTTTTTATTATTCACCTTTAATTTTACCACCAAAAACTGGCATATTTATTTAATGTGTTGTAGACAATACTTATATAAATTTAAAGATTTTAAATGGTAGAATCGTTCAAACTGTTACTCCGAAAAGGTCAGTTACACAAGAAGATCATTGACCATGAATAAATAACATAATTTTATATAATGATATTTAAAGTGGTGACGATAATAAAATATGTGGAGCACTACTTTATCAGTTTAATGAAAAACTGAAAGAAATTAAAAAACTTGGACCTACGGAAAAACTATGGAGTCAATATTTTATTATGGTGTCGATTACAAAAGAATTTATAGAAGTTAAACGTCTGGAAGATTGGCAAGCTTATTTGAAGAGCATTAAAGAAATGCTTCCTTATTTTCACGCATCATCAGGGCATTTATCTTATGTTAAGTCTGCGCACTTGTATTTGTATAATATGCAACACTTAGAGAAGTTAATGAATCGTAGTTTTATCAAATATTTATCAAAGGGTTTTTCTCTGCTAGACATGTGATACAATTTTAGTCGATAATTTCATAGTCTAAGACTTTTATTTGATCAACTTTTAAGATAAAACTTACCGTTTACCAGAAATATATGAAAAACCATTATTTTACCTTTGACCTTTGAATAGATTTTCTTGCAGATGTGTGAACGGTTGCAAGTTTTTTATTTGTAATAATGTCCCCTCTTTTGTAATTTGAATGTCTATTTTGATTATGCTTTCAGCATTTTTGGGATTTAGCAAGTTAAAATTAATGAAGCAACTAATATATATATATATATATATATATATATATATATATATATATATATATATATATATATATATATATATATATATATATATATATATGTATATATATATATAAAGTTAAAATTAATGAAGCAACTAATATATATATATATATATATATATATATATATATATATATATATATATATATATATATATATATATATATATATATATATATATATACATATATATATATATATATATATATATATATATATATATATATATATATATATATATATGTATATATATATATATATATAAATATATATATATATATATATATATATATATATATATATATATATATATACATATATATATATATATATATATATATATATATATATATATATATATATATATATATATAAATTACTTGAAAGATTAAAATACAGGAAAAAATAAAAAAACAAGCTACTATAAAATAAAAGCAAAATCAAGTTAAATTTTACATTAACTTGACTTTATTTTGTTGTTCTTTTCTTATTAACAAATTATAATTTAAAAAAAGTATTTATTACTTCTCAAATAAATTTTGATTAATTTTTATGTTTACTTAATATAATTTACAAAAAAAATAAAAATAATTTGTTTTGAAATCAATATTGACAAAAGTTTAATTATTAAAAAACATTAAAATCTTTGTCGAAATATAGAAAGTTTCAATATTGAAATTTTTTGGTATATTTACTAAGGTTTTAATTCATCTCATTTACGTTTTATGAATAATCAATATTGACACGATTAAAAGAGGTTTTTCCAAAAGTATTAACTTTAATTCTCATCTCTACATTTGATACTTTAAGAAAAAGCTTTGATTTAACACTTCTAGAAAATGTTCTTTTAAAAATAAAGAAACAAAGCATTTAGAAGTAAAAAAAATTTCAAAGATATTCATAGTGGTAGAAAAAGAAATTCATAGTGGTAGAAAAAGAAATTTAAAATTTAGAAAAATGATTTGGACCGTTGTATTTCTAACACTAATTATAGCTTGTATAGCAGATAAAGAAAATAGGTTTGATTGCTTACCAGAACTCAATCCAGAGCAGATTCGGAGCGATTCAAAGTCTGAATGTATCAAGCGAAAATGTATTTGGACTGAAGAGGTTATTTTTTAAATTTTATTCATTATGATTACACAAGGTAATGCATTATTCTGTATATATTATAGAGTTTTCATTAACAAGGTAATAAGAACAATGTAAAATACAATTATTTGTAACAATGCATTAAAAAACTAATAAGAACTTTAACAACTATTTATGTATTAAAAAAAGAAACAACAACAACAAAAAAAAGGGAATAAAAGGATAAAAAAAAGACTTTTCTTTAAAGTTACCGGCAAAGTAAAAATTTTTTTGCAAATCATGATCTTATATTTAATTATAAAAAACGATCTCGACCCAAAATAATAAAAATACTTGACTTGTAAATTAAATTCAATGTACAAATCTATCCATGAAATGAATAGATAGATTGCATAGGTTTTGCCATAAAATCTTTTTTTGAGTTCAATCATAGTTTCTGAACCTTATTATATTTGAAACCACAAAAAAACTTTATTTTGCCTATGTTTTGAAATAATAAGTATTTCAAAACATAGGCAAAATAAAGTTGTGTGTGACTTTTAAGTAATACAAAATTGATTAAAATTTGTTTACCAAACAAAAAATCATTTAGAAACCATTATTTCTTAATGTGTATTGTTTTAAAGATTTTATAAAATACTTCTTTATAGCTTTCTTGTTTATTCCATAATATATATATATATATATATATATATATATATATATATATATATATATATATATATATATATATATATATATATTTATTTATTTATTTCGGTTTTTGTTTATTATTTTATTTTTTGTCTCATAGTATATAAGTTTTTGATAGTAAACTTATATACTATATTTACTTATATATTATGTTTTTACATATATTATATTTTTATATAATATATTTTTACATCTAACCTCAAGTGGAGCACTCAAATTCAATCAGTTGTCTCCAAATCTTTACAAATTCTAGGTATGCTAAAGAGGACATTCACCGTCATTGATGAAAAAATGGTTCTCAAATTATATAAAGTGTTTATAAGACCACACCTTGAATGCAGTGTCTATTTGGGCCCTGTATTTAAAAACTGACGTAGCTTTGGTTGAATCTGTTCAACAAAATGGACTTTAAGCTTGAGAAATCAGCTTTGTGAAAAAAAAAGCTTTGTGCGGCCGTGGCGCAGTGGTTAGAGCGCTTGCTTTATAAGCAGGAGATTCAGGTTCGAAACAAGCCTTGGACATATTTTCGCGTCACGGTAAGGATGAGGGCGTGAACTTCTTGGTTAAATGCACTTCCGCAGTGCTCTGTGAAAAGACCGTTAGGTCTTCTCGGGGCATCTAAATAACAATAATAATAAAAAAGAAATCTTAAATACTACGAAAGACTAAAAAGACTGAATCTACCATTACTTGGGTTTCGGCGCTTTTTCGCAGCTTTTCGCTACGATCTCATCAACTTTTAAACCAATACATCGGTTTGATATAATTAATAATATATATTAAAACTCCTTTTCACATGGTCACCATCTTAAAATAAGGCGTAAATATGTTCCAAACTGTCTTTCAAGACACAACCATCTATATAATAGATCAGCAAAATACTGAAATAAACTACCCAAGCAAGTAACTCTCCACTCAACTGTACTTTCTTTTAAAACTAGATTAGATCACTGATTGAGGATAAAATTCAGAGCGAATATTTATAAAACTGGTTGTTTATAGTAGGGTGTTTTCCCTGCTCGCTGTAGGTATATATTGTATGTATATTTTACGGCTACAACTATAATAGTTCATTTAATAATTCATGATTTGGTAACCAACAACATCGAAAGCTTTCAATACTAAAATAAATATTTTGAAACAAAGATTTGATCTTCGTTCAAAAGTTTGATGAGTTTAAAAAGAAGATGAAAAGATGTCGGAAATGATTAAGAGCCGTTTTTGGAGAAAATCGAATCTAGATGCTAACTCAAAGATATCCTTCAATTACAATCAATTTTATATATAATAATGGTAGTAATATAAAATTGATATTATAAAAATAATTTTTGGATAAAAGAACTTCTTGAACTATGGTGGGTTATTATTTTGGCCTGCTAATACATGGAAAGGCACGTTAGTATTTTATTATTTTTAAAACTAGTTCTAAGGCAAAATTGCCCCCAAAATTTTTTTCATATTATGGAAATATGGACCCATGATATATTTAGAGTAATAGTGATAATAAGTTGGTTTATCGGTATAGATAGAACTTTTTAAAAAGAAAATTATAAAACAAATGGCTAACAGTCCTCTTATATAAAAACTATAGGCTGAAGTACAATTTTTCAAATTTGAGGACGACTTTAAAAAGACTTATCTTGGAACGGAAAAGGTCCCTTGAGGTTATCTTTTGGAAAGAATATCCGATTTTGTTTTTAATGATGTAAAGAAACTGAGGGAGGGGGTATTTTTCACAAATAAACTTCTCCGTCGTCAAACCGTCAAAAAAAATGTTTTAAATAGCGTTCATAAAATAATTATTACAGGAATAGTCCAAAGATTAAACCTGTATATATTATTTATCCATGTTATTTTACCGTTCCTTTAATGCAAAAATATTACGGTTTTATATTACATTGTTTAAATAACTTCACAGCAAAAAGTCAAATTACTTGTTAAAAAATAACAAAATATCACTACGGAAATTCTTAATACGTTTATTTATGCTTTTATATCAATGTTTTATTGTTTGATATGTAAAATGGTTTTCGATTTTCATATATATATATTAAATTTAAATTCCTCGTCACTTAAAAGATCTTTTAGACCTTTCTAAACTCTTTATCTCTAAACTTATCGTCTTAATTGAATTTTAACGGTTTCTGTGGATTCATACGTTTTTTTACTGGTGTCGAACTTCATACGTTTTTTTACTGGTGTCGTACTTCAAAACATTAGAACAAGCTAACTACTTAAAATAGCTCTTAAATCCAGAAGCAGTGCTGTCCTAAATTAATAAATTGCCTACCAGGGTACCCGCCGCACGAACGAGCAGGTACCTGGTAAAAAAAAACAATTTTTTATTAAAGTTATGTTTATAAATCAAAGAAAAAAACATTTAATTGAATGATACCAACTAGTTAGAAATGTTCTTTTTCACATATTTAAAACTTTTGTTTACTTCAAGTGTCTAGATTACACATAAGTCCAAATTACGGTAGCTTGACTAGACTATGTAAATAGTCCACTGGTTCAGGTACCAAAGTTGCACTTCGTTGATTTACCGCAGTCGATAAAACGTATTCTGATGGCACTAAAGTTGCAGATGTGCACATTTTCTTGTGTAATAACTCTTAAATAGCATAATTATATTTTCAAATTTCCAGGTTTTGAAAGATTTTTGTTCAAAACTTAATAATAAACAAGTTGGATAAATTCTGTTTTACGTAAACGAAAAAACAATAAACAAGATTTTCATGATCTTTTTTACAACAAGATCTTCCAGATCTTATTTCATATACCGAGTTAATATTTCATATACCGAGTTAATATTTCATACACCGAGTTAATATTGTAAAAATGTTATATTACAATTAATGGTTCTAAAGTTTAAAAATGAATTAAATGGGTTTTAAACTTATCAAATAACGGTTACCTATCATTTTATAATGTCTGTCGACGTAGACCCGTATATTTTAAATGACGGTTACCCGTTATTTAAAATACCGGGTATCCGTCGACAGCCATAGCCAAAAACATACTTTATATATATATATATATATATATATATATATATATATATATATATATATATATATATATATATATATATATATATATATATATATATATATATATATATATATATATATATATATATATATATATATATATATATATATTTATATATGTATATAATATATAAGCATAATGAGTGGAATGACCTTTCTTATTAAAATGATTTAAGGGGTAATGCGAAAACTTGATTATAATTTTATGAAAATAGATTTAAAAGTTTATCTAAAATTTGGTGGCGCAATCAACATGATCATGAAATGCTTGAGAGATTCTAAAACTAAAATATGAAATCTAAAAAATTAAACAGATACATAATGCAACTTATCAGCAAATTACTTAAAAAAATTTTATTGTTTAACAAATTATGCAAAGATTTCTCATATTATGCAAAGAATAGGAAATAATAAAATCATATCGTTTATGGTTAGAGATAGTGGGTAAAACTAATAAACCGTGATCAGTCGCTAATTCTTCTTTTTTTTTAGTAATTAAAATTGGTACAATTAAAAAAAATTCAATGATACATGAATTCTTTTATAGCTATATGCCAATTTAGTTAAACATATTATTTTAACACACCCATTTTAGTGCTACTGAAAAGTAAAAAAAAAAAAATTGAGAAAATAAATCACTGAAAGTTAGATTTTTTCTCTGAAAAAAAATTCCAAAGAAAAACTGCTTGCAACTATTGCTGGACTTTTTCTTTCACATATAAAACAATAGTTGCCTTCTTAGGCAGCAACTATTGCCATAAGATTTTTTAAAATTGTAGCGCTTCCGCAATTTAATTAACTTTGCACAACTTAAGAAAGATTTTAAAGTTGAAAAGATTCTATGTTGTGAGTTTTGTCAGGTTTTTCATAAATGTTTTTAATTGTGATTTTGTGATAAAAAAAAAACGCAAAGTGATTTTGCAAGAAATAACGCAAAAAACAAACAAAATAAACAAACACTTAAAGCTCATTTTACAAAAGAAACAAATATTCATTTAAGGTTAAACAAGCTAACGCGTATATGCGGTTTTAAACAAAGTGTAAATATTTTTAAAACAATGATATCTTCTGTTTGTTTTGTTTTACTTTTTTGATTTTTCTATTGTTTTTATTTGTCTCACTTGATAATTGACGATTGTATTGTAACGTAAATGCATATTACAAAACTCTGAAGATTGTTTCTGGATTTCAGTTTTATCGCCTACTTTTAAATAAGTAAGCGTCATTTCAAACAAGTCGATAAAGTATTTTTAAAAATAAAAAGGAAAATTT